ACATGAACATGGCGACTGCAAGTTTAGAAATGGCAAGTGCTGTAAGCGTCGGCTGTCAATGTCTCACGGATCGTGGAGTCATACGGGCAGAGTAAGACAAATATATGCCAAGTATGGGTAGGTATACTAACTATATCGTCCAAAATGAATTTCCAGGAGGCCTCTACATTTGCGATGATATCAAACGAGTATGGTTACCTAGAAAGGTCTGTGGTACACAAACACGTATGTACTCTCTCTGTGTGTTCTCGACGATTTACTAGTATACTATATGTACAGAATTGTTGCCAGTAGACTGCAGTGCTGAGACATCTGATCTCGGGAATATAATGACCGTTTTCGTCGACCACAAGATCCCTGTTTCTCGCATCTCACGTCACAACTGCTGTGCGTGCGTGTATGTAAGCCATGTCGTGAGACTTGGATTACAGGTCAGTACCTACTCAGTAGGGATTCGCAATGTAACACATACCGATTATCAACGGATGTAGTTGTCGCCGAGAGATAGCAGATTTCATTATTTTTTCTCAGATATGAAATAATTACAGTTACTGTAGTGTAGGTATATACTCTACTGTACAATACACCACAACCATGCAGGGCAGGCAAGGGGCCTCCGGTGTGTACTACAGTAGGCAATTTGCACCTCAATTCGTCGAGGAGAGCACCCGTCGGAGGAAAAAGGTGCTCATCTCGTCGTTGGCCTTGCATTGCATGCGACATGGGATCCACTGATATGCAACCTTGACTAATTCGGCCTGTTCCCAGCGTAGAAGGTCTGTACATACATACAACATCCATCAAATCTCATCTTGTTGAAACGAGGACATCGAGTCATGTCTACTACATGTACAGGCGCAGTGCAGTGCGGTAGCCAAGGCCTCCAATATTGACCGAATCACACGCCAGGCGAACCCATAGTTTTACCTTCGGTTCCCCATTCCTGCAGATCGGTTGATTGATGTATACTACTTATATATGCAAGTATTGCGAAGTGCTCAGACGGGATCAGAATCGCCATACGTCAGTCATCATTGCAGGGGAGGACCTCGGGAGTCATCTGAAGTGACATTGGAATTTTGTTGTGGAACGGAATCGACAAAGCGACACTACGTAAAGCGACAAAGCCACAAGGCGGCAAAGCGGCAAAACGACAAAGCGACAAAGCGACACGATTGCGCATGACTGACTGACTGACTGACTGACTGCTCGGCATCTTCAGCTGGCCATTCGTGCGTTCATATCATAGTAATATACAACTCGAAGTGGCAACTGTATCCTGCGGCCGCCGCAATCACAATCAGGGAGGGTAGCGATTATGGGCAAAGGAATCAGAAATAAAAATAAATGAAAATTAAAGGCCTGTGGCGGTGGTATTTTCCATGTGCTGCTGACGAGCAAATCGCATCTGCCATTTGCCATTTGCGATGGATACGGCTCTGTATACCTTGTCCTACACGACATATACCACCCATCGCATCGCCTACGCTACGCCTAACCGCTTCCTTGGGCAAATGTGATCCTATCCATCTCTCTGAGATCCCTGGGAACATCACCCACTTGTCTGGATCTGGTATACAAAGGACCCCTGCTGCCAAGCTGCAGTGGCGATCAATGCACACCCACGCTATCCCTTTTTTCCTCTTGCTCACTCACGCCAGAATCAGTAGGTCCGCCCCAGCCATTCACTCAATCTGTAATGTAGAGTGCAGAACGCCATTTCATGTTGCAGTAGGTCTGTGAGCGAATACAGTATACCGTGTCAACCTGCCATGTACGACTCCTGGCGGTGGAAACGGCAGGTGAATTGAAACGTCAAGATTCCATTGAAAATGAATTGCGTATCTCAGCTGCCGCAGCTCCCACCCACTCGCCATTGACGTCAACGATAAGGCGTGTCCACCGTTACACATTTGTCTGCCTTGACAAGCTGTTTCTTTCTGTGGTGGCAGGTGGCAGGAATCAGATCCTGAGCATGATACAGCATTGGGTAATTTCCCCGAAAGGCTTCAACTACAGTATGCAACGCGGGTGGGGATATCCTTTTTTCTACTTCTTGTGTTATCCTCTATCTTTTTTTTTTTTTCTAGAATCTTTTCCCGGAAGAAAGAGGATTATACTGTGTTTTCTTATTCGAGGAATACCAAGCCGCAGATGGTTCGCACTAGGGGAAATGAGATGCTGCTCGCTCGGGGTCGAGCGTTCGGCAGTAGTGCGTTCGATTGTCGGTCTATATATCTCTATGCAGGTAGTAGTAGCGAAACTGGACCCACGATGCCATACCCAACCAGGAGCAGAACCAGGAGGAAGACAGGTAACTCTTACTGCTTCGTATTTTCTCGTCTTTTTTTCTCCCCCTCCGATCCCTCCGGCCGTCGGCATCCCCGACCCCAGTCAGCATCACGATGACATCTAATCAGACAAGGGCTTGGACGTCGATGAGGTAGCATTCATCAATCGGACGAAATTCTCTCCTATCCGACGATGCAGGTCGTTCTGTTTTTGATCATGAATGCGTCAGACATGTGGGTCGGATTATATGAACACAAGTAGTCAAGTAAGAGCAAAACACAAGCATTAGGGGCTTTAAAACATCGTGATGGATGCAGTGCGTGGTTCCTAGTGTGCTTTCGGATGGTCTACCGTGACGCCAACAATGCAGCGTGGTACCAGAGACTGTGGTAGTGTACCAGGAGCACATTAGCGGTGACTGCTAAAGTAGTCTTTGGGTACACCACTTTGTAGGAGATTCAGTCTAAGGTAGGAACCAGAGCGATCTGACAGCCATTGGCGCAGCCTTTGGTTCGGATAGTGAGCGGTCGCTGTCACTAATCTGCTAGATCCCGTTACACATAATCGTATTGATGGAGTTAATATGGTAATGGTGGTAGTGATGGTAAAGTCATGTCTCACAGGATCATATTATTAGTTCGTCTGTTCTAACTCGTTGCTAGCTAATCTGTGAATTAACAGAGGCTTGATCAGTAACTACTTCCAGAAAAAGCGAAAAAAATGTATCATGTCTCTTCTACGAATAACTGATGAATATGAGCCAACCATCAATCGAATGAATGTCTGTGTGAAGCAGGGTGGCTTGCATACCGCCCTGTCATTATGACTCGGTTGTGATCGGGGATTTGGCCGCTCGGCCGAATTGTATTTGTTAATATGAGTGGCTTGCTGCTGAGCGGCGCTGGAAAACGGGTGATTTTTTTCTTGGTCATCCAAGCCACCCTGATTCCTAACCTAAATATGCGTGCCCAGGCTGGCCTACATGGCACTGAAAAGCAATACAACCGGCGAGACATTTTCAATTCAATATAGTGGTAAATATGGGTAGAGAAATATTAAAGACTTGCAGCTCAGACGCGTCTTCAGTATCCATTCCTGATCAAGAGACTGTTTCTGGCGAGAAAAAGCCATGCGGCTGACTCCAGAGCTGAGAAACGTATGCCTCGTGGTTTGAAAAAAAAAAAAGGACAGACTTGACTCCCTTACTTTCAACCCCGCCCAGCCCGTTGAAACAGTTCGCATACTGAGACTATATATATGTATTGATGAAAGAGATACGACATTCGAAAAGTGTGGCGGCGTAGGAAGTTGCCTTTTGACGTGTCATTTACGGTTGGATAATGATTTATTACGTCGATGCGAGTATTCAGTCTGGTTTACATGCCTTGATGTCTTACTGTTCGATCGGGGTGCGAGGCGCCCACACACGAATGGTACTCGCGCTGGTAGTTTGCGAGGCTACCAAACTTTATTGTTGGTCAGCACACTAGCAATCGTCACTGGCATTGCAGCAATGTATGAAGTTATTTACAGAATGTAGTTTGGAGTTTTCGTCTCCTGTAGGTCTTCATGATGTGGCGGCGAGCAGGGGAAGTTCCTAGGGGTCTAAGAGTAGATAATGATGGGAGCTCGTGAATTAATATAAGCTTGTACAATTTGTAGCTCTCAGACCTCCCAAGTAGAGAGAAAAGAGCCGATCAAAAGGCGTCACAGATTGTAAACTGCAGTTTACGTGCATGTTCCCCACGTCATCATTGTCCCCTGGTCGCATTATGCTTATCAGCATCCTTTCCAATTAAACTAATGCATTTCACTGGAATACTCAATGCTTCGTGTCTCAGCGGTTGATTTACATGAGAGACACGAAGGAGGCCTAGAAACCTAAGTTGTCCGAGTCAAAGCCCTGGCTCTAAAAACGTTCAGGTGACCGCAATCAGTACCTAGAGGCTTCCTTTATCTTCTCCTAATTTGGGCACGACAAAAACCAGGTGAAAAATACGGTAATGTAGCAATAATTCTCCACGTCACGTCTTTGGGCTAAATTTTCAAAAGATGCGGTGTGGAGACGGTCCAGCCTCACTCTGGATCAACATGAATCTTGCTTTCTCGACACCCCGCATACTTTATTGGGTGATAAGGGAGTAGATGTAGTGTAATTTGCAAGGACAAAAATGATTTGAATATGCTTGAGGTGCAAAAGTGCCAGTTGGGGTCATGTAATTACGTGCAGGCCGTATATCTCTACTTCCAGGTCAACATGTTTAATATGCTCACCTTCCCGCAATGGCATGTTCTCTGATCACACCTGTCCTGCTTTATCTTGCCAGACAGACGCCACACGTCACGATAACCTGTTACTTGACTGTTACGAATAAGCTAGGACAAAGAAGGTATTCAGCGTCTGCTAGCCTAGAACAGTCGATAGAAACAGATATCCCGGCAGTAGTACTTATTTTTAAGACACAGCAAAGTCTCGCCCAACGAGCTGCTGCGCGTTGAGAAGGATTGATATCCCCTCCTAGTTCGATTTCTATGCCAGCGGCGTCCCTGGAGCCCTAAAGAGCGAAACGTGCAAATAAACGGCCTCTATTTTTATACTCCACTCCTTGACTTGTTGAAGTTAGGTCATGACTCGGCAGCTAACCTAGCAAACTCTAGTCAAAATACGAGCATCGAACCTCCATCAGGCATGTATCGATTAGTCTGGGTCTCGATTGGTCTAGTGGTAAGGATACCTGCTTGTCATTTGTCGATTCGATTACCACGAGCGTGGATTCTGGGCTTTACAGTATTCGAAGAGCAAGCCGCAGGTGGCCGGGGTTCGATTCCCCGATCGAGAGTATACACCGATGTTGGTTGCATTTTGTGGCTTCCTACGATTGATTGTCTTTTTGGTCCAGTCTTCGCTTTCCGTTTCATCTGTCCTCCCCATGAGATTTCGTCTTTTGATACAGATCAGATGGAAACGCGGAGTTGTGGGTCTTGTTGTGGGACGCAATGCTGTGCGACGTGAGGTGTTGTGTGTAAAGATTATATGGAAAGATTGGACTATGTAGATGTAGGTATTTGAAAGTAGTGGGCATTAACAAGTAGCGAACCAAGGCGAGCATCAGACTGAGAAGAAATACAAGTTTATATATTCTGAATCGGGCGAACGCCACGTCTTCGGCATCGAGTAGCAAAATAAATACATGAGCCAGCGGGCATCCAGAAGCCACAACACAAAATTGCGTAACGCGGCAGGCGATGAACCCAAGGACCTTCGCTATAGTGAGAGAAAGTAGTTGGATTCTCGATTAATTGATCATAAAATATTCAATTTAATCAGTCTTCATCCTCCTCTCGAAAGCAACACTCTCCCCTCCACCTCTCCTCAACAAGTGAAAACAGACGGGCCAGCTGGCTGGTAGGTCTTGCCTCCGTTGTTGTAGATATTGATGAGGAGGCCTGGGTCAGTACTCTTATAGGCACCTGGGAAGGAGACGAGGTTTGATGGGGTCTTGGAACCTGAACCACCAGACACCGTGATTTGCGCACAGGAGAGGTAGAACTGGGCGCCATTGGCAGAGCTCGCGCTGTATTGGAAAGGTTTGTGTCAGCTACCTCCAAAAAGAGCAACAGCATGAAAGAGCTCGACTGACCTATGAAGTGCGACATGCTCCACGCGGAAGAGGTACTATGATGCTTGGGATTAGCGGCGGTCATCTTAAACGTGAATTGGATTGTTTAGAAACCCTCCAAAATTGGACCGGAGCAAAACAGAGGGAAGCAACGTGAAGAATTACTAACATCGCCATTGGCCAGACACTGCGGAATAGTGAAGCTGACCTGGGATTTTCCTACGTGACGTCGCAAGTTAGCACAGACAAAACAAAACATAAGTTTATAGTCTCCGTATTTCCACGCCAGAATCGTGGTTACCAGACGCAGCAATGCTAAAAAAAAAGACATAACTTACCATTAGATGGCCAAACATACTGTCCACCACTGACAGTAGGCATATCCTGGTAGACCTTGAACCAAACCGCCCCATCACCCTCCCACGTCGCAGCAGTTTGACCGCTTGGGACCTTTGCCATGTATGCGGATAACGCCCCTGGGTGGTAGATGTTCGGGGCCACCTGCCAGGAGATCTGGCCGCCCGCGTTAATCTTAGTGATATCGGGCGCGCCGCCGGCGGCCCGTTCGTAGCATCGGATCGCACTGCTCGTCACATCCGTCACAGGTCCATTACTCTGGAAATTGGCCGTCTATTTAGGAGCATCTTGTTAGAAACAGAGCGTTTTGGTCGGGGACGTAGATGGTATAGTTGAGCTTGTTAAACAGCGAACAAAAACAGGCAATATTCCTTGTCAAGCAGACTTGTTGATTCCAAGACGAATGGATCTGAAAATACTAACCTGGCGCACTGATGACCATTCCGTTGTTCCCACAAGCTCGGGAAAGGTGTCTGAATAGTTTATTAATATGGCAAGACACCATTATATGGCCAGCACTGTTGAGGATATCGGGACAATACAACATCTCGAACATCAATAAGAGTGCTCAATACACCTGAAAATGATGCCGGGCTAAGAACACTGATGTGAAGACAAGAAGAACAAGTCGACGTAAACATACAATGAGGAGCGGCCTGGACGGCAGCAACGCAGAACACAAATACTCCTGTAACCTTCATGTTAAGTACCAATCCAATAGAATGGGATCAAATATGAAACTCTGGCTTGATAATTCCCTTCTATTGGCAGTTTGTCTGTACGGACGACAGGCTTTTTCAAGACGTGACGAGAGAGAAATAAGTCGTAACAAAAATACTTCGGATTGTTTGAGATACTTCTATCTATAGACATTCTGCCCAGGGAACTATAAAGGCTAGGGAGAGGAGGCCAAGGGCATTGAGAAATGGGCTGTGAGCGAACCACCATGTAGAGCTAGCTAATGGGTAAGACCTAGGATGGATGCCGAAATGGAAAGAGAAATGAGCGGAATGTAAGTTGCGAGAACCGGATAAATAGAGTCTCGCCGGATATTACTGTGCCTATTTACAACTGCAATCTTCATTAACCTTACCCACCCCATACGCTTCGATGTAGCCAAGGCTCGGCAAAAGGAGGAAATAGCAAAGTGAATACCTAAGACCATACGCCCACCTTTGCAATGGTCCTGGTGCTTCAAATGTAAAGAGTTCAGTGGTTAGTACGTGAACTAGGTAGCCTCTGTACCAAGACTGGTTCACATATTACGATAAGGTTATCAAAGCATTCCTATTCTACCTAGGCTGTCTGAGTTGCATCCTAATGAGTGCAACGACATGTGGATCTACATGAACATGGGACGTTGAAAATCAATGATATAGCATAGCAGTTCCAATCTAGAATCGGGTCAGTAAGTTCCACAGCCGATTTCCCAGCATTTCGAAGACAGGGCTGCCGGCTATTTTCCCACGAAAAGCCTCGAACGATAGAACAAATGCTTTGCATCTTCTCAAACTAAGGGAGTCCTGTCTTTCTCCGAGATAAAGAGAAGTGGACGTCTCTCGTCGGAGTCCCTTAAAGGAACAAAGAAATGCGCATATCTCACTAAGAGATGCACGACTCGAAGAAAGTCGATATTACCGTGTCTAATCAACCAAACCCTCTAGAGAACGCCGTTTGTGCTTTTCGGAATTAAAAAGATGACCTCATCAATCCCACAGATATTGTTATGTGGTGTTGAAGGACTGGGATCTTGCAGGCACCTGTAGAGAAATTCAATCACCATCGTCGGTTACCAAGAGGCATAGCGTTAGCACCACCGCCGCTATTACCGCCACCTGATGTCCTGATTAGCTTTAGACGATAAGAGCAAGGTGACGAATGGAACATACCACGATGACCACCACCACCACCACCACGTCCGTATCCACGACCGCCATATCGGCCACCACCACCGCCTCCGCCGTATCGCGCCATTTCGGCCAGTCTCGGATCAACTTGTTGCTTAGCCTCCTGAAGGACTCCGACAAGGTCACGGGCCTGCTTCGAGTCTGGCGGTGCGGGTTAGCCCGAAATCACGGACATCGAGCAAAGCGATGAGACTTACTGTCAGTAGTAAAGAATGTAATGGCGGTACCATTGGCGCCAGCACGACCAGTACGACCAATACGATGAATGTAGTCTTCCGAGTTGTTCGGATAATCATAGTTGATCACGTGAGTGATGTTGCGCACATCTTTTATCACACAAGGTTAGCTCTAGAAAACGAGTTGCTACGAAGCAAGTCCCAGCGGCGAACATAGGTGCCGTAAGCATATTGTTCCGTGCATTCTCCATCGAGAATGGGGCTGTCTGCTGCAACAACACTGCCAATCTGGAATTGATCCCAATAGTCTGGTCCGGGTCCTCAGGATTCGGGAATCTTAGAGATAGCTTGACAAAATCAAGAAATGCTCAACTTCGCCTAATTGTACCAGAGCACATCAGGTACGAGGCGAAACATCGGACACGGCCCTTGAGGCCATACCATCGATCCCGACCATCCGGATGGAAGGAGAACCACAAGACACGACTAGGCCAGAAATATGTGCGCAATCAAGAAAGCCCCTAGACATCACAGTCAAGCACATCGGATATAACTCTGCTGGAAGTTGGGGGGAGGGCACAGGGTTGGGGGAGTTTTAATCATACCAATACCACGAGAAGCCACGTCAGTGGCGACCATGATGGGACTTTTGTTGGTCTTGAATTGATCCAGGACCCAATCACGCTCGTTCTGTTGTTTGTCACCGTGTATCGCTGCGAAAAGGTTAGCGACAGAATTAATATCAGTAAGCCGAAACGTACAAAGTGCTGGCCATCCATCCTGGCGGAGAAATCTTGTAATGTCATCGGCGACACGTTTTGTTCCCACAAAGATCAGAGACTTGTTCTCCTTGTCGTCCATGATCTTCTCTAAGTGCTTGATCATGCGATCACGCTTCTCACCCTCTGAAACTACTTCAACAATTTGAGTAATGCGATGGTTTGCAGAAAGGTCCATCGAACCAATGTTGACTTGAATGAAGTCAGTCTGGAACTCGGAGGCTAGAGCTCTAACTTCCTTGGGCCAAGTAGCGGACCACATCAGTGTCTGACGGTCGGGTCGAATTTGGCCAATGATTTTTCGGATTTGGGGCTCAAAACCCATGTCAAGCATACGATCAGCCTCATCGAGAACCAGGTACGTGACACGGCGAAGATTTGTCTTGCCGCCTTCGAGCATGTCAATTAAACGACCAGGAGTGGCGATACAGACTTCAACTCCCTTAGACAGATCTCGAATCTGGGGGCCACGAGGAACACCACCGTAGACGCATGTGTTGCGAATTCGGGACGATTTGCCAAACTTGGTGATCTCCTGCTGAATCTGAACGGCCAGCTCTCTCGTGGGAGCCAGAACAAGGACAATAGGACCGTCACCAGGGGCAAGAAGGGGTTGGGCGTTGATGTGAACAATGGCAGGAAGACAGTATGTAAGCGTCTTTCCAGAGCCTGTCTCGGCAATACCAACGACATCGCGACCGGAAAGAGCCATCGGCCAGCCCTGGGACTGAATGGCGGTAGGAGCAGGGAAGCCCTGAGCCTTGACTTCATCCATGACATATCTGGGGAAACCAGCTTCATCGAAAGTCTCAACAGGCTTGGGGACGTCATGACCGGCGATCGATATCTGGTGATCGCGTCGGAATCGGTCAACTTCGCTGCTGGGTCGTTGAGCGAGAGCTTCGTCCTCTTTGTAGAAGGATTTCTCGAACTTGGGAAGTTTGCTGAGGTCTGTGATTTGGATTAGTATAGTGGTAAACGACATCCTGCTTGTTTGTGAA